ATGTACCACTGCTATTATGTAAACGCTTTGTCTTGGCATTGTGATGGAATTTTTCAGTTTACAGCTTCTAAGACGTGTGAGCATATGCCTTCGTGCATGCAAATGAGTTTTACAGCACTATAGAATAAACCTCATTATACTCGCAAAAAAGGTAATCTTTCTGCATTTTACAAAAGCTACCCCCCCACCTCCCTACATTAATACAAATAAACAACACGACATAGTATTCTTGGTTCTTTCGGTAAAGTCACGTAGAAGGGAAACAATAAAATAATAAAAATATAAAACAATAAAATTCTCACTAACACGACATAGGGTTGTAATGACTTGCTTCCTCACCACCACACGATGAACTGTCACAATTTGATTCACACAGCAATAAATGGATTTCCCCTGTGGATTATACAGATATAATCAGTAATGGTATTAATAATATATACGCTAAACTAGTGTTATATAAATGTACTATATGTAATTAATAGATTCATTTTGAAGGTGATATTGCATCTTAATAATTGAATAAATATGTTTTTACTTTATTTAGTTGGCAAACCTTTAACTCTATGGAAGATTTGGCCAAATGTGCTGTAGAGGGGGCTCTAGATCCTGCTCTAGTGGAGGCCTTTCCGCCAGCTGTGGCGTGAGCAAGCAATTGCAGGGGATGCAGCTTTAGCTTTTACTCTTCTCCATCAGAAACAGGACCATGCCTTGCAAGGTGCATCCTGCACAGGTAAATTGCCACTTCTCATGTGGAAGGGAGGGTGATGAGCAAACTCATCTTGCTGGTTCATCAGGATATTGGGAGTAATGCAGTGTGGGAATGAAGGGATGCAGTAGCCATGCTTGGCTGGTGGTGGATATGAGACATGGTGTCGGGAAAATTGTGGTTCACAGAGTCGTGGGATTCCAAAGCCGCAGTCTCCAGCACATTCAAATTAGATCCTTTTGCATGCGATGCATAAACGATTAAAATTGGTAAAGCTTTAAAGTGTGTGCTTTTGGAAACGCCCCAGACTGGCGGTGCAATGCAATGCAGTCTGTCGTCTTCAGATGGCCACGAAGCACATTTTAAACCGCAGACCAAAACATAAACTGTAAAGAAAATTACTGAGCAAGTGTATACGAGGCCTAAAAATTTATGAAAATGTGATCCTACTTTGTAATCTATGAAACATCGTCAGCCATTGTCTACCCACTGCTGGTTAAAGGCCTCCCCATACCATCCTCTTGGATGACTGGCGCATTCTGCTCTTTGCCTGCAATTCAGTCACCAGTCTCGTCCTTTTGCCATCATCCTATCTCACTATAGACCATCAATCCTTCTCCTGAGGTGTGCTGCCCAATCCCATTTACTTTTGTTTATTGTAAATATGAAGTCTGTGATTCGTCTTCTGAGCAATGCGTTCCTTGATTCTGTATCTCGGTGTAATTCACGGCGTGCGTTTTTATCATTTTTGCGCCCTTTTATTGAAGCATGATGTTACATTTGTATGCAAGAGTATTGTGCAAAACATATTTATGTAAATGACTGCCAAGTATAGATTCCATTTGTAAAATCAAGTTAGATAGTGGGGATGCTACATTAATGTGATGGATATTCTTTTTGTTTCTGATGCATTTGGAGTTACAGTTTAGTTGCCAAGAATATCCCTGTGGACTGAGCAATTAACGTAACAGAATCAGCAACGGTTTTTTTTCATGTCTTGTTAAAGAAACCAGTGTAGTGCACAATGTAGGCATGGCCAAAACAGAACCGGCGTGTGGATTTTGGAGCAATTTCTGGACCTACCAGTGGTCCATGCTGGGTTCTCAATGTAAAAGCCTTTGCAGTTGTGTGTCATGCACAGTGCATGTATGACAAGCAGTGTGCTGTGTCTGACCTTACAAATAACTTGTGTATGTTACGTACGACAGTAATTTCTTTGGACGTTGTACGATTTTGGGCACGTTTTATGGTTTGGTGGGCACACGCCTGTAATCCAGTGCTGCGGAGGCGAGGATTGGTGGATCGCACACATTTTTTGCGGAAATCCCTTCCTGTGGGTGTCGAGGTGCCATGCCCTGGCTTGCCAGGAGAAGGTGGTACAGCAAAGTGCTTAATAATGTCATCTGTTTCTTCTGTATTGAATCGAGCGTTGCTCCCACGCAGGTGTGGGTTTACATCCGCGTGCTCCGGTTTCCTCCCACGTGTATAAACTTTCATAATTTGGCTGACATCTTCATACCTAGAGGACTGCAGATGTTGGGAATTTGTTGGCGCTGGCTTACCACCTGGCTGTTGTCTTTCCGTTTGTGGTATATTTTGCACGCAAGTGAGCGGTGACGTCACATCTGTGATGTCACCCGCATGCGGCAGTGTTACGCGATGTGCCTGCTGACGTCACGCATCCCCCCCCCCAACCCTCTGCGTAGTCCGTGTTTTAATCCAAGACAAGAATCCAAGTCCTGGGCAAAGCCGGGTAGTAAAGCTCGTATCGTATGTAATGTGTTCATGTGAGCTGAGCAGCCACTAATGGCTGCTACATTCCACACAGTCTTAAAAAACTAAAATTGGATCTTGAATAGAATAATTACATTATTACACGGTAGTCACAGTTCCAACGATTGTACACATACAGCATTCATGGCAGCAATATATGAATCAACATCTGAATTCTTATGAATATAAATTTTCTCTTTTCTTCACGTTCACACGTACATTTAACCCTTAATATTCGCGGGACTTTATATTCACTGTTTTGCGTATGTATGGCGAATTTTTTGTCGTCTTTTAAAATTTTTCAGCGGTAGCACACTGCTACCTGTCAAGAAGTACCGTGCTGTAGCTTGGGAGCAGCGTGGATTGTATGTACGTATGTTGAACTTCTTTCCCACCGTGCGTAGCCAACTGTGCTAATCAGAGGTGCGGGAGGGAAGGACAACAAACTAAACTGCAAAAACAGTTTTAAAGAAATTAGTTTTCAATTCTACATTTAAAGCTTTCGTGACTGCAGGGATCCATACTGTTTGGTTCTATTCGGTAAAGTCACGTAGGTAAAAAATAAAACAACAAAAAATCGCGACGTTTCGGCCACAACACAAGCGGCCTTCATCAGGTGAAGGGATCAGGCTGTCTCGAGGACAGCGCTGGAGTGGAACACAGCCACGCTCAGACCGTGACCTTTAAGCGACCTTTAAGCTGTGTTCCACTCCAGCGCTGTCCTCGAGAGACAGCCTGATCCCTTCACCTGATGAAGGCCGCTTGTGTTGTGGCCGAAACGTCGCGATTTTTTGTTGTTTTATTTTTTTTACCTACGTGACTTTACCGAATGGAACCGAAGAGTATAAATTAGTTTTCAATCCAGATGAGTTAAAAGTGCATGGCCCCAGCGGCTTCCTAATATCGGAAGGAAGGGCGTTCGTTCCAGACGGCCGCAGAAGATTGTCGGAGCGCAAAAGTTACCCCCCACGCGACTCCACTGTCCCGCTCAGTCGGCCTCCGTCTGCCGCACCGTTTACACGCGAGTGCTCTCCTGTAACAATTGCTTGGAATTATGGACGTAACTGTGTTGCCGTTAACCACGGCCCCTTAGCGAAAAGAGGAAGTGACATCATTACAGGAGCTTTAAATGCCGTGTAACAATGTATTTATTCAGTCGCATTCGCACTGTTAAATACGTTCATGTTCAGCATTATTAAAGGCAAGTTACTTGTATTCATTCATACATGCATACAGTTTATATGTTTATTTAAATGCAATATATGTTTGTCCTCTAATATTCGCGCCGGTCCCCATCAACGTACCACTGCATTATATACAGGCGATTTTATTGTCATGTTTATATTGTTTTTACCCATTGCTGGATTCAACGCTGGTTTATTTATTCCCTCGTCTCCTCTGTTCACAATGTCCCCATGTGTTTTCTCCAAGGAATCACTTGGGAAAACAGATGGTTGTCTCAGTGGGAATCTCACCTGGTTATAAATAAAGTATAATGATGATGTTGATAAGGTGATTTATATATACATGTGTCTACGAAAACACTTGACACGCTTAATACCTTGGCAGCATGCCACATTTTATCAGACCTAGTGTAATGTGAATTGTCACGATTTGAGGTCCTAAATCTGTTCAAAATCCTTTTTTTTTTACAATGTGCTGTATTTTCGTGGTCTCTAGCGGCTGCAGGGGTTAGATGAACTGATGCATCATCATCAGGCATGATCAATCCAATGCTAGATGAAGGCCTTCCCAATTTGTAATAATTTCTCATCACTATGGGGTGTAATAATCCCTGTATGTGTTCCATGCCTTGGCTGCCACTCTGTCGTTATTTTTGGCCATTGGCCATCATCCCTTCCAACAACGTCGACTACCCAAGCCCACTTACTTGACTTAATTTTGAATGTTGCCTTTATCCTATGTGTGTTCCTGAATTAATGTGTTCCTCTTCTTAGCACTGTCAGTTTTTGTTTCGTTTTGTTAATCAACATGTTTTTCAACCATATGCACCCCTAACAAAACATTTAATATTTGAGTGCACTACATTTTTTTTACTTGAGTGCACTGTTTTTTTACTTTTGTTTATTAAGAATGGCTCAATAATGACATTAACATTTTGGATTAATAGCATCTTAATATGAGAAGACTGTACACCACTTAATGCGGAAGAAACATCAAATATATACACTTGCCACAGTGACCGATCACATCATTGAAACCAAAACACATCATCCGACTGGATGAATATAATCCTACCGTACAAGGCGGAACCGATTTAACTTAAAGGCACCATCACACAGCTACCCTTACTAGTCTAAAATGGACAAGTATAAGGTCTTAAGTCTAGAATTGGAGCAAGGAGTTGAGAACACGGATATCAGGAAGAAGGGAATGCCACACTGCAAGACTTGGCTAAAATTCCACAGGTTTTCATCTGCAAAGGTAAGACTGACTAAAATAAATAGCTTCACTAAATTAACACTGGTTGACATGTGTGCTTGCTTGCATGTTCGGACAGAGCGAGGAGCTGCAGGGCACGCAGGCGAGCCAGCGCGAGGGGACCTCGCGGCTCGGAGGAACTGCAGGAGACCGTTACTGCACGGTCCCCTCGGGCCCCCGCGGAGCCGGCGCCCTGCGATGGGGGCCCCGGGCCCGGCGTGAACGACGTGGGGCCCCGGCGCCCGCGCCATGGGAGACGCGGCCAGCCCCAGGGGTAAAGGCGAGAGCGGGGAGGCGGCAACGTCGCTAGCGTCCTCGGGACCACCGTCGCCGTCGTCATCGTCACCCCTACGAGATGTCGAATGATAACTCTTGGCGGCGGACGTAATGGTTATAGAGTCTCGGGTAGGTGCTCAAAGTAAAAGTTTCGTTGTGCATTCATTTTTTTGTTATTGCCACGGCCGCAACCGCTTTCCGGTGTACAGTTGTAAGAAACGTGGCCCAGGTGTGGTGGCGATTATCCGTGCCTGTAATGCAGTGACTTCGAGGTGCAGTCGGTGTGTCACGGAAAGCGGGAGTGACTGCGTGCATCAGACATGGGAAAACAGGGTGATAAGTCATTGACTTTAAGCGATAGTACAGCAAGTATGGTTCGTACAGCCTATATAAATATGGGTTTTTGAGGCCTGTTGGTGATTGGGGCCCCAGGCCACTGGATACCATGCATCGGCGCTGCCCTGGCCTTCCCAGCTGTCACTGACGCTGGGCCCCAGTTTACTTTGTCCCACACTGTGATAAGGCGTCACTTTATTTCTCTCTCATGTTTCTTTTCCCATGACCCCCCCACCTTCCGCCCTTCTATCTGAATGTAGTTTATTTTATTTCATTTTCACAAAGAATCTTGAGACGTGATTTGCTTTTTAAGGCTTTATAAATTGTTGTTGAGGCAATATACCCCGGAATGCCTTTATTTTCTCTGCCTACTCAGGTTGCCTCTCACAAAAATTATTTATAAATAAATTGTACACATCCAGTAATTCATGCCTGCTTCTCTATTCTATGAATTGCTGCAATTTAGGCCATGATCAGATCCAAGAAGCAATATGTTTTATTTTGTCATGAATGTTGCGCCTCTAGTGGCTGCAGGATCCTGAGAACGAATTACTAATTACATACATTTATTAATTGAAAATCAATAGTAATCCATTGTGTTGGGTTCTCGTATTTCAAATCTCAAACGTCACAATGTTTCCACAGCTGCATAAACATAAAGTTAACTGTCCTCCTATGTGACCAGTGTTACCTTGGTCTACCTTTAAAATAATGACGTTATCTCACCTGGTTAAATAAAGGACAATTATACATGTACACACATGCAAATTACATGCGCTCATTCATACATTTTAAACAGAGTACTCCGATTTCCTTTTCAAGAGATAATTGTTATCTAAATATTGACAAGTGCATTTGTGCAATAATAGTATAACACAGCCCCGGAAGGGTTGGGGGGGGGGCGGTTGTAGACACCACTGAGATTGTGGAATGACGGTGCCGATGATGCCCACAAGGCAATTGGTGTGTAAATGACTGCACAATTGCCAGGTGTGGTGGCCATGTGCTCTTGCAATTGGGCAATATTTAGGTGAGATTGGGTAGGATTGGCAGATTGCAGCGAGATTGTTTGTGCTCGAGGCAGCCACTTGGTGGTTAGTGAGGTGCCGGTAAGAATCAATAGACAATGTCTTTTGGTACATTGTAGCCTAATTTTCCTACATAAAATGTAATAATCTGTAATGTAATCATCTGTGAGCATTCTTTTCCCTTATTTTTTTGACAAGCTGTCTCTCTGTAGACTACTTTGCTCTACCCCCCCGCTCCCATGGATTTTCTCTGGGGTTCATTCCACGCCAAACATAAATTCTCAATAATAACCACTCATCAAACGTTACAAATATGGGTCTACTCAATTTGTGTTAACCGTCGGTGAAGATATTTGGAATAAATTATTGTTAAATTGGAATTATTTTGAAATTCCAAAACATCCATATTTTCTGTTGACTAATATTTGGGAGCATTCCGCTCTGGATGTGTGGGGGTAAAAAATTGTGTGAAGAAGTAGATAAACTTGCGTGGACTAGTCTTGGCCCATTTGTCTGCCAGTAGGGTGCAGTGGGTGTTATGCATAATCCAAATTGAGTAATTGGCAGGCAATTTTTCGAAATTTTAGGAAATTTGAACTCTGACGCTGTCACACAATGGCCTATTTTCGTAAATGACGTCAGAGGATCTTTTAACATCCACTGGTTATTACACACACAGTAATAATCGGGCAGTCGCTGGATTCGAACCATAAGCCTTTGCCGCAAGCAGTGAATGCACTATCCCCATGTAACCGCCCACATGAGAGGCAATCATTCCTTATTTATATTTCCTGGAGGGATCAGCTTACAGTTGTGAATTGAGTGCTCTGCCCTCGACTCTTCTGGCCACAGGGATGCATGAGATTTATCAATAATTTCCTCGGTTTTACTCCACGTATTGCACATTTTATTGTGTTCACGCCTATCAATGTACGAACGAACTAATTTATGAATCCCGCCTGCAGAATGTCTTCAATGGAGAGTCCTCCGGAGGGCGCCGAACCTCTTGAGCCAAGTGGCCCAGCGGACAGCACGGACGCACAGCTTGCCCCCGCGGTCTCCGTGGTGGAGGGGAGTGGCACGGCGCTGAACCAGGGCGTCGGCGGTACCGGCGCCAACAGCGAGGCAGATGCGACCATCGACGAGCGCGTTGCGGCCACCCAGGAGACCGCTGTAGCCGGTGACGTTGGGACCGACTCGGCGACGGCCAAGGAGTCGGACGTTCTCACAGAGCCGAAGGCGGTAGCGGTGCATCCCCACGGTGCTCGGGACGTCGCTGACGAAGCGGAGTCGACCTGCGATACTGCTGCGCCGGCATCCTTCGCAGGTCAACCTGTTGCTGCTGCTACAGTTCTATCGGAGGACGCCAGTGCTAAGGAGGTGACGGAAGACACGCACAGTGATGGGAGCGGAGGTGGCGAGCAGCAGGGCGACGGTACGTGGCCGCAGGGCCCTGCCAGGACTTCAGGAGGGCAAGACTCTTTGGCCGAGACGTCGAACTCCGCAGATGGAGTAGAGCGGCTACAGAGTGGTTGCATTGATTCCGAAGGCGGAAACAACGAACCGCCATCTGGAAACAATACGAGCTTGGGAGTCGGCGTTGAAGCTGGAGTCGGTGCAGTGGGGGAAGAAAGAGAGTGTGAAAGAACTAACACTGATCACGTTGAATCGGAGCAGCATGCAGGGGATGTTAACACACCAGCTGAGGTGGGAGAGATGCAAACAACTGAAGAGCTCTCTGTTGGGCAGAGGATTGTTACAGAATCCAAGGATGTTGCTGTGGAATCGATGGGCCCCACTCACGTGGATGCAACAGCGGGGAAGGCAGACAATGCGGCATGTGGTGATGGTCAAGGGGACGCTAACGATTTGGAGGTGGCTGGCGGAGCGGTCGATACTGCGCCTCACCAGCGTGGTGGCGTGTCCGAGTCGTCGTCTGTGCCCAGTGCGAGCGTGAGCCAGGCGAGGGGGGAGTCTGTCATCTCCTGCGCTGGGACGACCGAGCCGGAGCAGCTGAACCCTGAGGCTGTCGCCGACACATGTGAAGCCACTTCGGCAGAGGAGGTTGCCAAGTCGTCATCGCTTGTTACAGAAACGGTCAAAAGGGAGCAGATTGTAGCTGAAGAAGAAATTTCTAAGTCACTTGAAGCGGAGCCACGTGATGCGTCGGCTGCGTTGGAGATCGAGGCCGGATCAGTCGTTGTGACGGCTCCGTCCGTGGTTCCAGATTGTGGTGATGAATTGAAAGTTAACGGCACTGACTCTGCTGCGAAAGATACTTTGGGCGCGGATTTAAATCCACACGGGCGAACAGCGGATGCGGACGAGTCCAAAAGACCTCCACAGGATGACGATGCGCGCTGTGCTGGCGCCGGGCTCGCGGCCAACGAAAACGTGCCAATCGTAGAGACCAGCCCAGCCACTGCCGTTGGAATGGAGGGCGAGGCTTCATCAGGGTTAACAGCACCCGAAAGCGCTGAAGCAACGGCTAAATCGAAGGAAGCTTGTGGCACGGCACCTGTGGGAAATGTTGCGGGAACAACGGACGCTGCTCAAGCCGGGCAGGTCGTTGCGGATGGAGACCAGGTTGGGAGCCTGACGACGCCGGCTCCAGGCGTAAGCGAGTCGACGAACAACGTGCGTAATGAAGTGTCCGCCGTTGCAAAAGCCGCGAAGGGGGGCGACGCTTTGGGGCAGAAGGTCACGTCAAGCGCAAGTGACGGCACTGGCGCGGACTCCGCCGAGGAGCACACGGAGGCTTTCCTGGAGGTGGCCTCGGAGGTGTGCATCGAAACGACGGATGAACGTGGCGCGTCGGGAAGTAAAAGCGAGGTGGTGGGCGCCTGCGATGCGTCTCTGACCGTGGGATTTTCCATTACGGGCGATGAGGCTGGGGAGTCCAGCTCTGCAAGAGAGAGTGCTTCGGAGTCCACCGTGCCCGCGATACCTGCGCACGTGGAAATGGACACCGAGATGCCATCGCCCCGACCGCACGTGGAGGATGGATTACGGGTCGCGTCGAGCGTGGCAGAGGCCGCACTGCTCATCTCGGACACGCATGCCTACGCGATCAGGAGGGAGAACCCGCACGTGTCGAGCCAGCCACATGGCAACGCATCCACATCGCAAGAAAGATCAAAAACAGGGGAGCAGTGTTCCCGCGGTCATCGCAGCGACACGGTGGAGAAAGCCTGCCAAAGCAACACATCGGCCAGTGAAGAACTTCATTCTGTGGAGACGATAGTCACCAGCGCAGTAGTAGCATCAATAGCAAGCACAGAAGGGGGGGATACTGTATTGGTGGAGGAGGGCGGCGTAGCTGTGTCTGGTGTTGATATTGCTCCAACAGCAGTAGTGCTGACGGAGGCTGCGGGTGAAGTGACACCTTTTGTGGAAGACCTGGCTGTTGATGACGGTCCTGGTGCTAAGACGGAGACGGAAGTGGAGCACTGTACCATCGACGAATCGCCCGCTAGCCCAGAACTCGCGGGGAAGTCCAATGGCGGAGTACTCGGCAGTCCCGTGCAAACTGTTCTAGTGAAAGTTACGGTTCCAACGACTTCTGAGGACAATGTGCAGGCATCCTTGCAGGCGGATGTACAGGCGCAGGCTGACATGCACAAAGACACACGGCCACGAGAAAGCGTAGATGTGGATGCACAGACGGACGCACAGACAAAAGCGGATGTACTGACGGACACGCAGGCACAGGAAGATGCACCCACAGATATAAAAGCACAGGTGGAGTTGTCGCCGGTGAGCGTAAGCGCGCAGGTGGATTCACAGGCAAATATACAGGCAGACGCACAGGCAAACATGCAGGCAGACACGCAGGCAAAGGTGGAAACGGCAGCACAGATCGAGCCCCAGGCAGACGTGCACACGCAGCCGCAGACAGAAGCGCAGGCGGACACGCAGGCAACATCACGGGAAGGAACGATAGCGGACGCTACAGCACCGGCAGACGTACAAGTGCAGGCAGACACGCATGTTGAAATGGTGGAGGAGAAGATGATCGCCGAGACACACGCAAATTCACAGGCGAATGCAGAGGCAGATGTGCAGGGGCAGACGGGCAAACAGGTGGAGAGACAGGTGCATGATGACATGCAGGTGTGCACCCAGGCACAGGTGGTTGTACAGGCCAACAGGGTTGTAGTGGCAGTTGAACAGGCACAGGGAGAGGGACAGTTTGATGTACAGAAAGAGACAATGATGCAGGATAAAACGCAAGCCGGAGTGCGTGTAGGGATGGAATCGCAAGTAGACCCACAAATGGACACAAAAGTTGACACGCAGGCAGACTTGCAGGCAGATAAACGGGTGGACACAAATGTGGACATACAGAACAACGAAGACATTAAGAAAGAAATACAGGTGAATACAGAGATAGACAAACAGGTTAATACACAGATAGACAAACAGGCAGAATTAAAGGTTGACACACAGTCGGATGCACATCCGGTCATGCTGGTGAAGACAGAAGGAGACGACACGCCCCTACCAAAGGACTCGGTTGTGGAGACACATACACAGCCAGATAAGCAGATGCATGCAGTTGGCCAAGCCCTGGACGACACGCAGAGAGAGACCCGGTCACAAGAGAACACCCAAGTGGACAGGTTGACAAAGGAAGAGATGCATAGGCAAGCGGGTGTAGTGGAAGGAAGGACATCAGACACACTGGTGGAAGCACAGGTGGACGTGCAAACACAAGCACAGGCAGCCACACAGGTGAGAGCAATGGAAGAGACTGCAGAGTTGAACACAACTGTGGATAAGGATACACGCACTCAAACAGGCGCAGAGGCAATTGTGCCAGTCGACCTGCAAATGGACGCGCTGGCAGATGCGCCGACAGATGCGCCGACAGTTTCACAGACAGAAACACCGACGGACATGAAGATTGATGTGCCAACAAACACACAGGCAGACACACCTGAAGACATGCCAACAAGTGCACAGGCAGGTGCACAGGGAGCCATACCAGAGGGGGCCGTGTCAGCAGGTGGGCCTACAAATACACCAACGGATGTGCCAGCAGGTGCGCAAGGAGGTGCACCGACCGCGACTAAAGCAGACGTGCAAGAATGCATCCAGGCAGGCAGCCAGTCGCCTACACAAAAGGACACACAGACGGGCACGCAGGTAGAGACGCGAGTTGGCACGGAAGAGGGAGCACAGAAGAAGGCAGCGGTTGGGCAGCTAAATGTTCCGACGCTAAATGTGGCCACACGTGCCGAGTCGTCTCTGGCGGATGCCGTCCCGGCAGAGACCCGCACGAGCAGAGAGCCAAGGGTAGCCCTCTCGGACAAGCAGGTGCCGAAGCATTTGGGGGATCCGCGGATGGCCCTGCACACGGAAGTACGACTAGGAACGCAACGGATGGAAGCGCAGAGAAGCGTACGACCGGAAACGCGGAAAACGACGCGAGAAGATGCGGCGAAGAGTTTGCAGGCGAGCGCGCGGGATGACACTCAGCGAGAAACTCGCAAAAGCGCGAACCCCGCCGCGCCGCGTACCGACGCACTGCGGGCAGACACGAAGCGGACTGACGCCCCGGGTAGCTCGCAGAAGGTTACGCAGTCCGTCGTGTCAAAAGGGCAGGCTGGTACATCGAGAACAGAAAGAGCCACACAGTCTGGAATGCATAAAACGCAGAGGGACACGAGGGAAGGCACGCAGAAGGTACCAAAGGACATGCAGAGAGAGGGGCAGGCAGCCAAGCAGGCAGGTGCAGCAGCGTCGGCCGATCGGGACACACAGATGGGCACCCGAGCGGGTACGCGCTCCAACATGCGGTCGGACTTAAGTACGGACACAAAGGCAGGCATGCGGACTGGCACCCGGGCAGCCGCGCAGGCCGAGAGACGGGCTGATGAGAGACGGGCCGACTACTCTCCCGCTGGCTCTCAGGCATCAAGCGAGAAGGATGCACGTGCAGTGACGCGGGGGAGTGACGCGGCACGAACGGGTACGCGGCCCACCGCCCGGCCCGGGGCGCGGCCTGGTACTCGAGCCGGCGCTCGTGCAGACGGTCGAGCGGCTGTCCTCCAGACGGAGCTGCCTGTGCCCGAGCGCAATCGTGAGAAGGCAGCGGCGGCAGAAGGAGGCGCGACGACATCGGCTCGGGTAGAGCGCATTGGCAGCTCGGGTGGACAGACGGAGACTCCGGCAGCGGCTGGAATGGCGCTCGGCATGGAGGTGGTGGTTCTTGCCGAACGCGCGAAGCCTGGCGTGGAACGTACCAGCAAGTCGAGCGACAGAGCGTCGGAGCCGGCCGGAGCTGGCGCGACAGCCACACGCCAAGCCAAGACCTCGGCAGAGCATGACGCTGCGAGGCTTGTGAGAACATCTGCTTTGGGGCAAGCGACGGATGGGAAGCCTGCTGCGGTACGGCGCACCGACCCGGTGGTGGTTATTTCGGTGAAGGATTCGCAGAAGTCTGTCGCCGGGACAGCCACCGGGTCCACTGCGATGGCAAAAGCGCCTGCAAAACCGGGCGTGAGCAGAGCGGAGGTGCTGCTTCCGGGAGTCTTCGCACACAGGAAGCTGGCCGGGGCACTAGCGGGTCCAGCGAGGATGGGTGTGAAGCCGCAGGACGCTTCAGTGATCGGCCAGCGTGATGCATGCCCTCCTGGAGGGGAGGTGCTGGTGGAGGAGTCCGCTCAGAGGGACGGCATCTCGCCCGACTCGCCTGCCTCCCCCGTTCAGACAAGACAGTAAGTTTCCCATTTCTACTGGCATTGTGCATGCTTTTGAACGGGGTTATTGAATGGGGTTCGGGTGATTTGTAAAATGGTTTCTTCTAGATGCCCTCGTGTAATTCATCATATAGTAACTTCCAGAATACAGGTTTTTTTTTTGGGTTAGATCACGTAAATATGTAAATGTGTCATGGGACCTTTGCCAGTACCAAAATATGAGAAGAGGTTTTCCCCTTTCTGGCAACAAAACAAGTGTTAAGATTTTGATTTAAAGCTTATATGAAATAGGTGTTAAGATGTTTAAACACCAAACTGAAACCTTTTACAAGGAATCATGTCTGCATTAACCACAATACTTGTGGTCAGAATGCAAAAAAAACATACTCTAATATATGCATTGTCTTTGAAACTGATTGGTCCACACCAGAGACCGCATTCATTGGAGCCTAGTCTCAAACGGTGTTAGTCCTCTGGTCTAACACCGTTTGAGACGAGGCTCCACCGTTTGCCGTTGTTTTAAGTTCCAAGGTTAGGGTCTCGTTAAATTTTTAAAGGTAGGTACCTTAATCGAGTAAATCTTTGGTTTATTATCGTAAAATTTTAAGTTGATAAATATCAGGATAAAAATATTAACTCAAACCAACATTATAAATGTTTAACCGTTTCATACGACTGTAACTGCCACATCAACTTTTAGGTGCAGCTGTTTTCTTTCACGTAACCAAAATGTTTTGAATATCACAACAGAACAGTGCTTCCTTTTACATTATCACCAGAACTTTTTCACAGCTCTTGTTTGCCTTCCATAACAATGGTATAATTTATTTGCATTCATCCATTGGCTGAGTGGTCAGACCACCTTCAGAGCAGTCGGCAGGGAAAACCAGAAATCAAAAATGAAATGAGATAAAAACGTGTTAATTAGCAGAGGCTTTGTGACCCACTTGGAAGGTGTTGGATTAAAAGTCCCAAATTAATAGTTTTAGGAGATGCATTAAGTAGTAAGAGTTGTCCTCCTGCAGGTCTAGAAAGTTGCATTCAGTACAAGGTACCTGACCTGTATATGTATTTGTACATGACAATCACCCATGATGCATCTGTTCCTGTTAGATCTTGGATGCTCATCAGGGTTTGGCCTGAAATAGAACTGAGACAGACGACCATCACGCACAAACAGGATGCCATGGGTCTCTGTGGTGTTACATGGTGGGACACTAGTGGCCAGCGCAGAAAAATCCAATGTGGTTCATACAGTGGTCAACGACACGCTCCGGCTCGGTTACAAACGAGCACAGTCCCTGTGGCAAGCACCCAGGCGCTTATAATAATTGTATTTAATTATTGTGTATTTCTGGGGGGCCTGCCCTCCCCTCTCTGCTGCGGAGAGGGGAGGGAACCCCCCTCACCCCACGGACCCCTCTGCCGCCATGTTAGTGGCGTTGAAACGTTTCCTGAGCCGGTGCTCCTCAGAGAAATAAATAAATGATTCGGTCGTTTTGACTTCGATTAGTGTTCATCTAGGTAGGCCATATTTTAGCCTGGGATGTACAAAGTCACCGCGTAAGTGACCACCATTGAATGTTTACAACCGTGCAAGGAGCAAATATATGATTTAAATGTAATTTTGAAAGAGTGAAAAAATATCACACATTGAAGCTGTCGTGTATGCAAACAATTATTATAATTTGTTGTCCTTTCCCGCAACTCCGATTAGTGCTGTTGGCTATGTACAGTTCGAAAGAAGTTCAACATACATACGCACATGTGTATAAATGTCACTGCAGGCACACAGCCATTAGGCGCACCGGTGCACAACAAGAGTTTACGCGTGAGAGCGGTGCAGCGGTTAAAATGGCTGTTCGTGCACGCAGGTGCGAGGAGTGCGGATCGCTAATAAAACCGAGAGATCTGAATTTGTGTTTTCACTCCGTGGGACACGGACCACAAACTCGAGGACTGCAATCAGTGCAACTACCCTTTGCTGCACGAGATTGAAAGCAAAGATCTCACGGAGGCTCAGTTTTTAGTGGCAAAAGTTCATGGCCACGGCATGAGCGAGGGCCCCCAGTGATGCCAAGGGACCTAGCTGTGCTACAATAAGCAAGGCCTTGGAGAAGCTGTGAGCATTCACGGAGGGCCAGCAAGAACTCGTCATGGTGCTGCCTCTGTTCGACACGGCTATGGTTCGGCGAATTATGCCACAAGTCAGGGGACCTGGCCATCGTTCTCCCGGATGCACGGGACAAGGCAGCATAGAAGAAGAGTAAGAAGCTCTATTGGGCGGTCGCGATGTCCTTGCAGGCCGGGACATGTAGCCTACTGCAGAAAAACTTGTGCAGAAGCCTCTGTCCAAAGGAGTGCAGTCTGCGCCTAAAGAACACCGACTGGGGCTTGTGCCTGTACCTCTCCTTTGCCGCGCGAGTGCTAGGTCCATGGCGTCCTCGGTGATGACGAGGCCGTTCACTCTGTGGTTGAAAGGTTTTCGGGCTCTACAGTGCCTTATGGCATAACTGGGCCTGCTGTTGTTTGAGTGAAGGCTGGTATTTTGACAAGGGGTCCCAGGCAGCCGTGGCACAATATGATGAGAAGGGGCGGAGAGAACTGTCCTTTTGTCTGCAGTCGTCTTGGCCCTTTTCACGGTGGCGGAAACGCAAAGTACGGTAGCGACAGAGACCAGGGATCAAACCAGACACCGTATTGAGGTTCCGGTTCATCCTGGAGGGCAGGTAAGGGTGCGAGTGGCAGGGACCATGTCCCTTGTAGCTCCAGAGACAACACCTCTGTTCGCTCTCCCTTCAAAAAATGAAGCTCGAATAGGGGGTTTGGGTTTCATTTGTCCCCTCCACCTCGATGGCTAGGCGGCTGCCTAACACAATTTGCAGAAATCATAGAGGATGACCCGCAACGTGTGGGTCATTTAGGCCATTCGCCAGTGTTACACCCTGGAATTCGTTGTGCCCCTCGCAGATGTATGGGTGGTCACGGCCCGTTTATGGCAACGTGGTAGATGCCTTATTGGAAAGTGCCGCGTTAAGCGAGGAATTACCGTTTTACATTACAGGGAAAAAATAAGCAAAGCAAATTGGAATGACATTTTCAACTATAAGATAAGCCTGCAGTCATCCCATGAACAGGACAAAGATATGAGATGACTATACGTCGCCACCAGATACCATATCATTCTGCACATGCACTCAGATTTCCCACACTGCTTGGCCACGCAGCTCAAGAAAGTAGATCGTCCTCGACCGCCCAGAATGCGCGATTCAACGGGCGCATTCGGCGTTGTGTGAAAAGTGTTTGGGTTAATTTATTATCCGAGCAGCAGCATCTCGATGACCGCTGTGAACAAACTGGGGTTTAGGATTCGCGTTTAACTTGCTCGTCATAGCTGGTCACCGACAGGACTCCGCATCCATCTTAACTCTCCTTAAAAAATGCAATCCCTGATTGTGAAATATAAGTAAATAGTACATTGTTTTTTTACCGTCAGGATTAGCGTCAAGTTATTTGTATTCCGCTGACCCTGTTTGATCATGTTAGTCGCGTCATTGGACCCTTGTGTTACTCGAGGTTTGAGTTTTTTTGGTGCACTTGTTCATGATCCTCCGCCGGTGGCTTGGATGGAGTTATCACTGCTAAATTTGTGGCGGAGGGGTAACGGGCTGTGGGACCCACACACAGACATAATTACAAAATGTTTAAATAATTATTCGTTTCTGGATTGGCAGCACAGAGACGGGATTCATTTGTGTCTGAGCCAGAGCGTGTCAGTGACCATCTATGAAAACCAGGTTTAACAGACAAACTTAAACCAAATCTAGCCTGTGCTTCTATGCGTCCATGACCAATGCTGTCAGCGTTTATCAGCGTGGTAAAGTATGGCCAAATAATCTGCATGACCTGCGCAGGTGTAGGGAGGCACTCGCCCAGCTGTGGAGTGACAAAGCAGGGCCGTACGCATGTACGTGTGCATTTCTGAGCATTCGCCCCCTTGTATGTGCGGAGTTTCTCTTGAGAAATCTGGCTTCTTACCCACATACCAAAATACTAAATCACACTATTGACCACATTTCCCAAGAAAAATCGTTTTTTTTTGCACATCTTCATATTCACTTCACACTTCATGGGTGAATATAGGATGATTTTAAAGTTATTGCATTTCATGGGGACGCTTGTTGATGTGAACATCTCTGCAGGCGTTTGCCGGCTGGTCAGATGGACTTCAAGAGTTGGTATATAATTTAAGCACGCCTCTGTTTCAAAAGCCCGTGTGTGTTCGCGCATTTCCTCCTTGTAAGAAACAGTCGTAAAACCAGTTCTTTAAAATTGCCACGGCAGCCAATATTCCTTTTCTTGTTGGTGCTTTTAAGTGCTGTTAATGACAAGTTGAATGCCAAGTAATATAAACATCCCACAAAGTATGTTTCATTGTGGACTTGGCAAATGTAATTGCATATGCCTCCTGTTTTATTATTATAATTTTTTTCTGTCTGCTAGATGGCAACTTGAAAAAAAACGCTCATTTTGTTGGCTTTGGGGGGTGGAGGGTGGGGCAGGGGGGATTTTTTTTTTGCAGTGCCAATATCAACATCACTCTCCACAGCACTACGGCTGGGGTTTAGTTTCAAGGACTTTTCAGAAAGCATAGCAGTGTAAATTTACTCGAATTACATGGTACCAGTCACCAGAGTTCAGGTGTGAATTGTCATTCAGCCAGTGTATATCTCACACATGGGTGGGTGAAGGTGCATGCTGCCGTTATTGTTTTTACCCTCACTGCTGATGGAAGGTTCTTCACAACATCAAAAGTGGGCTCTGTGGAGAGCCCCTCTATAGAGTGTTTGGCCTACTCGCCAGATGTTCTTAAACGACTAACTGTGGTGGACCCATTTAGACTATTAGACAGAGGTAGGGGATTAAATCAACTTTCCTATTCTTTCAACTGTTGTGCCGGGTTGATTGAATCTAATCGGCGACCTCTGGATAGCAAGTTCACCCGAATAACACGACTG